CCTGTATATTGATGTTCAGCTGTGCAAGTGTAATAATTCATAAATGATGATTGACCCCTTTTTTATTCAGGAATTCTATAAAAGTACAGAAACACATTAAGGATAATCAACACCCATGTTCCTATAACACAGTTCTGTCAGTCATTCATTAGTTGTCGTATTTCTTCCTTTTTTTCTTCTAACTCAAAGAAACAATGCGTTACTGATAGAGCTGAACTCTCTTAGATTAGCACTGAGGTTATGTTTTGTGACATGAATCCTCCTGGCCCCCACCATTGCTGATGTATCCCACTAGGCCTTTTAAAAATAGCCTTAATAACAATAACAAAAGCAAATAAACATGCAGCATGTGTTTTGAGCCGGGCACTATTCTAACTGCTTCGTATATATTAATTAATTTAATACTCATTACCTTATAAATCTGGTTCTACTGATATCCCCATTTTGAAGGTGAGGAAACTGAGGCACAGAGACCAGCTTCAAGAACGGCTTCAAATCACTTGCCCAAGGTCACACATATGGTAAAGTAGTAGAGCCATGATTTGAACACAGGCAATCTGCTTCCACAGTTTGTCAGCATTCTTACTTGTTCTGCTTTACTTCCTGTCAAAGCGTTTTTCTCACACACACACACACACACACACACACACACACACACACTACCGTTTTTTATGGTGGTTTTTAAAAACCTACAGAAATATAATCATCAGCATGCTTCATTCTGCAGTCTATTCACTCAAAACTGATCCATCCATATGGATACATACAGAGCTAATTCATTATTTTAACTATTGTAGAATATTCCATAGTGAGACCATACCATTTATGATTTAGCCACTTCCTTACTGATGAACATTTGAGTTGTTGAAGTTTTTCTTCATTATAAATAATGCTACAAAGAGCATTTTTGCATAGCACTGTGCAGAAACATGGAAGAGGGTCTCTAGAATCAGTAGGTACCTCCTTGCAGGGTTCAGAGAGGATATTGAGTTTTCTTTGACACTGCTAGATCATCCTCCAGAGTAGCTAGATCACTCCCTGCTTTTTTCCAGAGATTTGAATTTCAAAATATGGCAAACATCTGTCAAGGACATTTTGTTAAATTGGTATAGAGGAATTCACAAGGCTACAGAATAATATTTAAAACTCAAGATAATTATCTACTCATAAAAATGATCTTGAAAGAAGATGTTTTGTTTGTTTGTTTGTTTTGGGCCTTAACTAGGGAAAACAAAATGTGGCTGTCAAATGCACTAGAGCCTGTTCCTTAATTCTCTCCTGATGTGAACAAGGCATTAGGGTAAGAGGGAAGATGTCTGGAGGGCCTTCTGAAGCAAATTGTGCTCAGTTTAGTTTAGCTCAAGGGATGTAGAACATCACAGTTCCCTTTCTTCTTCCAAAATATAAAAGAGTAAAATCCATGTTTTCCTTTTTATAATTTTTCAAATAACCTAAATAATACTTTTCGAAGCTAAATGTCTTCCCATCAGAGATAGTCAGCACCCCACACTTTAGCTATGGGTCTCAAGCATTCATTAGTTGTAAGAAATTAAATCTTAAATGAGAATGTGTTTTCCACAGCATCTGCTAGTCTTTAATAAGGGCTTTTCTTCCTGAGGTTGTAGCCAGTTTGTTCATTCTTTCTTTCATCCAGCTGTACCCTCCTCCAAAGGGGATGCTATATGAACTCCAACTTGAAGCATGGTGTTTTCTATAAAATGGCCCGTGACATGCCAACTTCATATCTGATCACAGCTAGGTACATTCATCCCTACACCCTTTCTCTGACCCAACATGGCACAAACATAAATCTCTCCATTAGACACATTTTTTATATCTGTTTGGTCCTTTAAGAAACACAACTTGAAAATAGATTTCCCACAGACGTCTTTTTGAGGGCATCTTATTTCTCTCTTAGGGAACTTTTCTAAGGCACAAGGGGATTTATCATGGCTCACCTGTCATGACTGAGTCTCCGCAGGCTTCCCTGTTGAACCCGTAGCCCACCTTCATTAATTTGCAGATCAGCAAACTGATTCAGCAAAATCAGAATCCAGCTTTTCATTCACTTCTTTTGAATCCTGCTTATGCTTTTCTTCAATGCAGAAAACAGTTGTGGCTTTCAGGAGACCACTTATTTAAGCCATCCTTCCCCTGTCTCCATCTGGCTGGGATTGTTTTCCATTAGAGGATCTTTTGATTGTGCCCCTCTTCTTTCTTAAAGTGTCGACCTCCCCAAGATCATCCCTGCCTTTCCCATTCAGACGACGAGCCACAGAAAGAATGTTTGTCAAACCTCGGTGAACAGCTGTAGCATTCAAACATGACCCCAATGGCTCAGCCTTTTTGATTATTTAATCTGCTTGAAGTCCAAGGCACCAAAATAAAACTGCCTTCTTAATCCGGTCGTGGCTTCTGAATTCTGTTGACTTATTAACCATGCTGTGTCAACCCTTGTCAGGTTGGGGGATGCTCATCATGGATCCTTGATCTCGGGGTCTAGCAACAGAGCCAGCAGAGTGTGTAATATGAGGACAAATTGGCCTGCTGGAGGCTGACACAGTTTCACAGTGCACATGTTTGGTCATCGAAGGGTTATTCAGCCAACATTCACGAGGATTAGCTGTGTTGACAGGGTCTTGATGCCCTGAAATTCATAGCCATGGTTTCCTTTAGTGGACAGCACAGTCTCTTCTCCCTGGTGCCACAGACATTTCTCAGCTGCTCCTTTGCTTGCTCCCCATCTCCTCTCCCCACCCCCTTTTGAATTGACCTTTCTGTTTATGTGACTTTGGAAATTCTTCACAATCTTTCATCATTTCCCTGATTTTTCACATATAAAACAATAAAGCCGCTCCTGCAAACATCAGGCTTCAATGAACTGTGACTTTGCTAATTGAAGCTATTGGGAACTTTCCCTCCAGGGACTGGAAGGTCTCTTTAAATGGGCCATTTGTTGAGGCGGGGTTTTAATGCTTAAAGCCGCCCTTCGGCACACCCAAATGCTCCGCTTGCCCACCGTGACTACGTGTAAGGGTAAAAAACTGTGCTTTTCTTGAGGTGGCATGAAGTGGACTCTCTGGCCCCAGATATAATAGAGCAGCTGAGTGTGGGATTTGGAATCACGTGAATGTGGATTTGAATGTGGCTTTACCATTCACCCTTCCGTGTCTCTGGGCAAGTGACTTGCCCACTGGGAACCTCGTGGCCTCCTCTCTAACATGGGGATAACAGCACTCCTTGCTTCACAAGATTGTTCCTAGGATTAAATAATACATGTCCTTGCCTAGAGCACCTTAATAAATGTGCACAATTATCCACGAGAATGTCTCCTAGGACTTTCATGCTGCTAGCTTTCAAAGGGCAACCTTGACCTGACAGGTGGAGGGAGATCCTGACAAAAGACCAGGAAGCCTGGCCCCTCAGATCTCAAGAGAATGAAGATGAAAAATCAGATTGTGATTATCCTTAATACACTGCTCTTGGGGATCCCTCTTCTCCTTTGGCCAAGTGAGAACCCAGTATACTCATCCCTTTCGGGAAAAATCTGCTTACTCAGCCTGCCATCTTTTGTCCTCTCTCCAGTATTCTTTGAGCAAGAGAGCTGCAGTGGGGAAAAGTCAGATGTCGGTGACAGAGAGCCATTTGAATCTTAATAAGGGCTAAATGGTTCCATCTTTCCTTCCTTCCTGCCTTCCCGCCATCCTGTTTCCAGTGCAGAGAGTTTAATAATAATCATTCCTTGATGATACATGACTATCAATGGCCCATATGTAGCCTTCAGTCATGAATTTGTCATAATAAAACAAATACCTGTGAACCTAAAGCTCACTCTAAGGACTAGAAGGTTACCAATAACTCATATTCACTTGTATGACTGTTCTTCCCAGTGATCAGCAAACGTTTTTTTGTAAAGGGTCAGATAGTAAATATTTTAGACATTGAGGGCTAAATGGTCTCTGATGCACCTACTCAACTCTGATGTAGCACGAAACCAGCCATAGCCAATCCATAAAAACAGGGACGTGTCTGTGCTCCAATAAAACTATATTTATATAAACAGGTGGAGGACCGGATCAACCCACAGGCCATAGTTTGCGAACCCTGCTCTAGCCCATTCTGTAGCCACTGCTGTCGCTGCTCTATCACCATCACCTGTCACCCACCCCCAAATTCCACCACCCAGCTGGACATATCCACCATACTGTCTCTTCGTCAATAAAATGAGGAGTGGTGGGTAGGATGATCTTGAAGGCCCTCTTATGTATAAAACCTATCATTCTGGTCAGAACACCTGAGTGGACTCGAAAGGCCCTGTATTCACAGACTTCAGGGGGAAGTTAGACAAAGAATTTGAGCGTCTTTTTTGGTGTGTAGCAGAGCTATTTAAGCTGTGTCCTTGCAGAGCCCAACTTGCAAGGTTGGTGTGGTCCTTGCAGGGTCCACATCTTGTGGACTCAGAAGCCTGAAAAAGATGAATACATTAACAGCACAGCTGGTGTAGGAGGCCAGGACACCTGCAAAGAAACTGCAGCCAACCGGAGTACTTTAATAAATGTTCACAGTTATCCATGAGAATGTCCATGAAACTGCAGTTAAGGCCAGGCTGGGTGGCAGAGAAGCAGCATACATTCATGCTGCTTACACTCTAAAGCTGTGTGGTCTTAGGCAAACTTCAGAATCTCTCTGAGCCTCAGCTACCTCATCTGTAAAATGCAGATAGTAGCTACCTCATAAGGTACAGGAGGGATCAGTGTTAAGTGCACAGCACAGGTCTGGGAGAGACTTGTAAAGCAAATGGTCAAAAGTGGCCTTTCCTATAGTTTTAGCAGTGGTTATTCTTAGACCTCAAAGAGTCTGGACTGGCTGCTCCTGCCTAAGTTGTGAATACCCTTGGAATAGGCAAAGAACATTCCCAGCAATGAGTTCTCAGGAGCAATGGGTTCTTTGGTTCTCTTTTGCTTCTGCTGACTCTAAATGGTGATTCAGAGATAGGCAGCGCACACTTGGACTTTGCATGTGGAGGTTTGGAAGGCTGAATGATTTATTCTGTCTGACCTCAGTCCAGAGAACAAAGGGAGGGTGCGTGATCTACATGCTAATCTCTCCCTGCAGTGCCTTCTCTCCCTCCCTCCTGTGATGAACCAGATCCCAGAAGTGGCAAGTCGACTCTGCATGCAAAACAGTAACCAAGGAGAGATTCTGAATGTCAGATCAGGCCAAGCTGCTCCCTAGAGAGGAACACTCCACTGTGAGGTGCTCCCGATACCAAGGCCTAGTCAAGAGTACAGGGTATTTCCCACACAGAAACTTGCTTCAGACACACCCTCAGAGTCTGTGGTGACTGTCACACTCAGATTTCAAGAATTTCCTAGTTTCTGTCTATTTCCTGTATACCTTTGTCCATGGTAAGTCAGAATGTTTCCTAATATAAATTAGTCTATTTAACATTTCACCTCACTCCAACAAAAAAAACAATTAATTATTAACTCCTAAAATTGATGATGTCTTCAAATCTGGCAAATATATGATAGCTTTTTCTCATAGGTAATGCTATACAACTATTTTAAAAGAATATGTTAGAGTTAAATTTATTCACAGGGAGGATACTCGTAATAAGGTTAAATAAAGCAATTTGAATAGGAATGCACATTGTACAATCCCATTTATATTGCAAAAAAAAAGAAAAGTCAGTGGTGGAGGGATTAACCCTGCAAATATGTATTGGTTTGTCTGAAGACGAAATACCCTGATTACCCAAGGGGCAGGGATGATTTAAGAAGAAGAAAGGAAAATTAAATTTTTCTGTTTATAACTCTGTGTATTTAATTTGCTACAACCAACATGTATTACATCTATAGTTTTAAAAATACAAAGGAGAAGAACTGACTTTTGTTAAGTAGCAAGTAGAGGTACACTTTATTTGTTGGGATATTCGAGATGGCTTATTTTCTAGTGACTAGCTATATTGTATGTGCAAATACAGCATTCCTAGAGTTCACATCCTCTTATCCTTCAGGATTAGCCACAAAGGTGACATCTGTCTTTCTCTGCCAAATGACCTGCACAAGTGACCAAACCACATAATGCATACAAGCATTTCTCCCAGTTTTAATGTCTGCTTTGGTAAAATCATGGCAAAGTGCTTCCCCATCCCTGCCAGTGGGCCCCCATCCAAAGCAGGTGCTATGGTGATCTGATGCAAGGGAGGCAGCCAGACTGAGTGACAGCTGCAGCCCAAGATAGTAGGAAGGGGGGGCATTTAGTACTACACATCCACTCAGAAATTTCATTTGATTGTGGAAGAGATATGACATTTGGAAAATATTTCCCTAGGAATTGCAGATGACAAAATGGCACCCAGGTATAAAATTTATACAGAGCTATTTAAAAAGCCTCAGTATTATTTCCTTCCCTCTTTCTTTCCTTCCTTCCTTCCTTCCTTCCTTCTTTCCTCCTTCCTTCTTTCTCTTTGAGCTTATAAAACGTATAACAAGAAAACTAGGTATATATTTTAAAATGTCAATTATATCATTCATTTAGTGCATACAGTGGGCCAGATATTGCTAAGGATTTGTTGCAGTTAAAGTAATGTAACTGCTGTAACAAGGAAATCCCGAATCTCAGTGGCTTACCACAACACCTTATTTATTGTTCTTAGCACTGTCCCGTTCAGGTTGACAGCGGGGCTAGGCTCCATGCATTCAGGGACCCAGGCTCATTCTTTCTTGTTACTATGCCCTCCTCTTAGTTCTCAGAGCCCTCTCCATCAACTGGCTAATGTGAAAAGATAGGATCAGGCATGGGCCAGGCCTGGAAATGGTACTTATCACTTCTGCTTACATTTCAATGGCCACGATGAAATCACATGATCATATCTAACAGTAAGAGAGACTGAGAAATATAATCTATCTATGTGCCTTGGAAAAAGAGGAGCCATACATGTTGGAGAGCATCTCTGCTTCCACATTTTGTTTGCAA